AATCAGAGCGAATGGAGCGGCAAATTCCATATGGTAATGTTGGAATGGGCGATTCGTCTCGAAGGATTGGTATGGTGATCGCAAGTCTAGATTTGGATGGTAAAGCTGCTGCGGATGAGTTCGCCGTCGCCGACGAGCCAAACATGCGACTGCAGTCCTCACCATAGGATGCGTGTGTTATCTCAGAGCTACATCATAGTCTCGCACGGTGATGAAAACGACAAGACGTCGCAACTACCGCAAAAGCATCATCTCCCACCGGCTATCCCCCACCGGCTACCTCCCATTCCATTCCACACTTGCTACCCGCCTACCACCCGTCCTAACAATCCTCATCCCTCCCCTCCACCCGTCAATACATCTCCTCTCCACTCTCCCCAAAATCATCTCCACATCCCGACCTCTCACAGCCCACCTCCACCTCAACAACACCCAGCACTATACGCATAAACGCCCTGCAACAATATATGCACCGAAGTAGCTAGTCTGTTCTTCTCCCTCGTGTTTTCGTATGCAGGACGGACATATCCGCAAGGAACAGATTCCTTCATCTAAGCGTGTTCTAAGCGTGTTTGCGCTACTGACGTGCAGCGCTTCTGGATATGCAGGAATACTGCAGCGAAGGAGCGTGTGTAACGTAGGAGAGGAGGGTTTATCCGGTCGCTAAATGTCGAGGCGAGGTGTAGGGAGGTGAAGCGAGGGTGGATGATAGTAAAGTACATCGTGGGTAATGTGATAGTCATGGTGTTAGTGTAAGCGTGGTGTATGTTGTGAGACATGTGGATATAGGAATGGGTTTGTAGTGGAGTTGGCGGTTAGCTAGGAGTGTCTTATGGTTTCTCGGTGACACTCTCCTGACCCAGTCACGAGTGTTCTGTTCTTGCCATAGGTTAATTGAAGAAAACGAGCGAGGAGAGTGGTTAGGCTTCGACATGTAGGTAGAGCAGTATCGTTTGAATCTTTGTCGATGTCTTTGCAACATATACATTTGACAGAATCTCTCGCGACTAACGTACACACAATATAACTCAGAATTTTGAGGTCTAGTTAGTTTTCATGAGGTTTGTGTTTGCAACTTAATTATCTTCTAAGAGCTAGCAGTATTGTTGTTACACACACAAGCTTCCCCTCATTCCTCACATGATCTTGATCATCGTTACGTTGCCGTATTGATGGACCATATCTCATTTTGATCTCAATATTTTCCCATTTGATGTTCGTCAGGAAGCTCTAGTTGTAATAATCCCTCATTCCTTCCCAACACTCATTTCCTCTCGAGAAGATAAAAACATCAAACGCCGATACGAAGAAAAACGGCTCATGATTCCCTTCAGTATCCAACAAATAATCCGTCTCGCACGCCAATTGATTCTCGTGTCGAGACTCCATAAATCCCCTGCGTATTGTGTAGTCAAATGTCTCGTAACGAACGATACCGACGCGACAGCACGATTTGCGAACAAGGTCAGAGGTCAGGAATCGAATTTCCCGATCTAATCACCACGCGATCGAGTATGCTATGCGATGCACATACGCGGCATGCGTTCGCATCACGTAAAAAGGATCCGATTCGCTTACGGGGAACCGGACATGAGTGTCAGGAACGACGATCGTAGGATCAAAGGATCGGGCCTCATGCCGCGGATGGAGACACCGTGATGCAAACATGATACGCAAAGCCTAGGCGACTCGAAACCCCAGATTCGTAAAGACAACAGTATCAGAGTGTGGCGTCGACATCGATGGTTAGTAAGAGCCCACATTGTATAGCACCAAGATGCTTGTATTGATTTTACTTTGAATAGTCTATGGGTATTAACGCCTTAGACATACGTAGCTTCTAGATGTTACCATCCAACATGCCCTTGCGCCTTCGCTCGACGCGCCCACGACCAGGCACAGGCACAGTCACAAACACAAGAGCACAGATCAATCGGTGTGATAGGTACGGCGTAGGTGACATGATCAGCGTCTAGAAGTCCTGGTCGTCGTTTCCAGCAATGATGACGTTGTTGACCTGTGCGTTGGTGTCAGTAGTTGTTTGCAACAAGGCCGTGATCCAGCGGTGAGGATAAACGGTAACACAAAGCGAAAAAAAGGGAAGGGTGGGTGTTTGTTCGCGTGTAACGAGAACAATGCAACCTGCATAAAGCGCACCCCCCGTGCGACGCTTTATCTTCGGCTTCCCCGCTTCCCCGGCCCTGCAAATCGATCCAGAAGACGGACGCAAGGGAGGGAAAGTGAGCAAAGCGAGGTTGCACAGACGGGAGGGAAGCGGAAGGGATAGCGGGAAAGGGAGTCACACCAAGGGTGTGCGGTGCGACAAACGACAATTCGTTACGGAAAAGGGGCGGGAAAGTTACGATACGTACCTTGAGTACCATACGGCACAGCTGTGTAGCGAGCAACAGTTGTTGCCGCTTCGAGATCAAGGGATCGATCACGAAGTGCTCCTTCATATCTGTGATAACGCCACGTTAGTACAATCTTCGGTAATTCAGCCACCAATGAGGCCCATGACGTTGTGCATGACAATGACAGCAAAGCAAAGGTCTCAGATGACTCCTGCTCATCTCCACTTGTAGTTGCGTTCATGCCAGCGCAGCAAGTGGCGTGGCGTGGGGTAATGCGCCGTACCCCACGGGGGCGTTGGATGCGGGAACTGAATGCGGGAACTTGAATGTATCACGGGTCTCGGGTCTCCCGGAGATAGTCCGTACTGCAGCTATGCTTGATAGCGGTGAGGCAGCCGGGAATCATAGAGACAGCCGTGGGGAGATGGTTGGATAACAAAGAGCGAAGTGCACTTACCGTTGCTTCCCGTCTGCATGCAGTCAACACCTAACCTGGTGTTTCCCTCCTTGGCTTGTCGGGACTTGATGTTGGCGAGGGTTTCGATGGGGCTAAGACCGGAGTTCTCAGCCAGCGCCATGGGGACGGCGTCAAGGGCATCGGCGAATGCGCGCATCGCGTATTGCTCGAGGCCAGGGCTCTGCGAAGTGTTAGTTGTTGTTATCGCGGAGCTCCGTAACGCTTACCTTGACCGCGGCATCCTCAACTGCGAGCGAGCATGCTACTTCCGCGGCTCCTCCACCGTATACAATACGGTTGTCGCGCACCAGGTTTCGGACGACACAGAGGGCATCGTGTAGTGACCGCTTGGCCTCGTCGATGATCATCTTGTTGCTACCGCGAACGAAGACGGTGACAGCCCTTGTGTTGGCACACTCCTCGATTACCAGCATCTTGTCGCGGGTGGTTCCGAAAGTCAGTTCCCGGACAATACCAGCCTTTCCGAGCTTCTCTGCGCTGAGGTCCTCGAAACGGGGTACGATGCGTCCGTTGGTTGCGATGGCGATCAGCTCGATTTCTGGGCCTCCTACCCACCGTACAGCGGGGAGCTTGTTTGTGAGGAGAAGATGGTTGGCCTCGTCGTCGAAACCCCACTGACATATTACTACGTTGGCGCCGGTGTTCTTGATCTGCTCAATCATCTCGGTGAACTTGTTTGACTCGTAGTTTTGTAGCTTCTTGAACTCCTCTACGGTGGTAATGTCCAACTTGTGCTTGGTCTTGGGCTTCGGTGGCTCGAACGCGCATGTGAGGATGGCGAGTTTGGCGTCCTTGACCTCGGACGGCATCTGGGGATGCGAAAAGTCCTTGTCTATTATGACACCCTTGACAAGTAATGTGTCTTCGAGCGATCCACCGACCTTGCCGTCAACCTTGATGAGCTCGAAATCGACGTCTTTCCGCTCGAGATCTGCGACCGAAAGCACAGCATCTACGGCGATTTTGGCGAACTGGTCGTGCGCCTTGGAAACGATCTTGCTGCCCAAACTTGTCTTTGCGACCTTGAATAGCTCTTCGGTGTTGTCCTTGGAGAAGTGGATCTCGTCGCTGACCTCGTCGAGCTTGGCCACGGCAACCTCGCAAGCCTGGTCGTAACCGTCTGCTATCCTGATGGGGTGGATGCCCTTGTCGATAAGGTCTGCTGCCTGCTCGAGAAGCGCGCCCGCCAAGACTACGACACCAGTTGTTCCGTCACCAATCTCGTCGTCTTGTGATTTGGATAGTTCGACTAGTAGCTTCGCGACGTGGTTGGAGATTTCCATCTGGGAGAGAATGGTGGCGCCGTCGTTTGTGACTGTGATGTCTCCGTCGGGTGAAATCAGGATCTTGTCCAGTCCTCGGGGTCCCTAGTTTCATAAGTTTATGTCCTACTTCCTTGCACTAGAGCGGTGCTGCGTACCAGAGAGCTCTTGACGATGTTCGCGACCGTCTTGGCCGCGAGGATGTGGGACTTGACCGCATCGTTGCCGTGTTGCCTCTGCTTCTTGCCTTGACTGCCCCAGACATTAGCTGCTGCCTCTTACTGAGCCTTAAGCCCTTTCCATATCATTCCACGTACTCTCTGACAATGATGAATGGCCTGCCCGATTCATCCTTCATCACCTGCGCTATACCCCACTTTGTCAGTCGTGAATTCGCGGTCGATTCGTAGTAGATTCGGACGCATACCGTTGGAAAGGTCGACCTCTGTAATTATATAACGTTAGCGTATGCATCTCACTACTGAGGGTTTGGGAGTTCGGAGCTGTTGCTGCCCGCACTTACGCATCTTTGCGGTGTGAAAATGCCCGCTGAAGTAACAAATGCACGACTCGGAAGAAGTATCAGACTACAGACACACACTAGGAGAGAATCCCGGGTATGTTTGGTAGTGAGGGGTGGTGGGGTATGGCCAAACAGCTGCCATGTCGGTCTTGAAATTTCCCCAGAGGGGCTTGGCACGAGGCGCACGGCCGCGAGTCGCGAACGCGCCGTCCGCCAGCTCCAACTCTCCGATCTGCCCTGACGCTTGCTGCCCCGAGCTGCCACCACACCCATCCCCAGCGCATCGCGGCCTTCCAATCGCGCTTGTACGAATCGCCTCAAGCTCCACGAAGATTGACGTCTCCGTCATATCCATTCTCCATTTCTAGCGACCGCGTTTCGACATGCCTCGTGAGTCGCGCCCGCCCGCCCAAACAATCACCATACGCGTAATATCCAGCTGCTAACTTGCGCAGCTGCTCTTAGCGATCACGGGTCCTCGGACGCCGAAGACGTCCCCGCGCAGCCAAGAAAGGGAAAGGGAAAGCAGCCGGTGCAGGAGGATCCCATAGACGACGAAGAGGACGAGGATGACAGTGAGGTGGGAGAGGACGAGTACGCGCGAAATCATATACACATGGATCGCATCGTGTTGACAATGCGACAGATACGTCGTTGAGGCGATTCACGGCCACAGATTCACAAAGGTGCGCGCAAACACCACCTCTTTCCCACGCGCAAACACTGACAACACCAGGGCGTCCTCCAATTCGACGTGAAATGGGAAGGCTACGACGACCCCAAGGACCGGACATGGGAGGCAGAGGAGAACATGTTCGTTGCGGCATTGCACTGTACTGGGTTGAGACTGACAGTCGCAGGGAGGGAGCTATTGATGTGCTGAACGAGTACTTTAAGAAGATCGGAGGCCGACCAGAACCCAAGGGCCAGAAGCGGAAGGGACGACCATCGACCGCCGGCATCAAATCCGAGTCTGGCACCCCGTCATCCTCCACGAAGCGCGCCAAGGCAGACAAGCCAGAGAAGAAAGTGGCAGAATGGAGCCCACCGCCAGGCTCATGGGAACACGACGTCGACCACATCGACACGGTGGAGCAAACGAAGGACCCCAAGACGGGCCAACTGGAGAAGTTTGCATACCTGGTGTGGACGAATAAGCAAAAGACACAGCACCCTCTCAAGCACGTCTACCAAAAGTGTCCACAAAAGGTGCGTACAAAATGCTTTCTGGATATCATTCACCATACTAACATCTCGCAGATGCTCGAATACTACGAAAGCCACCTAGTCTTCACCGAGAACGTGGACGAGCCTCTAAACGGTGACGACACCAACGACACAGTGATGAACGACGACTAATCCGCTTAAGTCGAGTAGTACCCGAAACCGAACTTGCCGATCAAGATATTCCCTTCCGGTGAAGTTCAATTCGACTTCGCCCCCGCGATGCCATACGCGAAGATGCTACCCAAAAACTTCCGTTCCCCGACATGGTCACCCATTACACCTCTTCTATCGTTCCTCCAGTCGCCGACCGTATCTCCCATCACACCTCCTCCACCTTTGCGCAAACCACCAGCTGTTTCTCCGTTGATACCCACGGAGCAGTTTTCATCTTCCAATCCTCTGATGCGCTTGGGTGCTGGGGAGGACCCTGATCAGCTGCAAAAGGGTACACATGTGTCTGCTGGGTATGGCGTATAGGCACTGAATGTATTATAAGAACTTCTTTGGATAGGTACGGAAAGGGAATACTGGAGTATCAAGGCTTCGTTCAAGCGGTTCCAGTTTCGCATTGTGTATCTGGTATCGTTCAAAATTTACAACGTTTATACATACGCCTATGATATGACCTACAACGCCCAGTGAACATGATCGCGTGCCTTTCAAGTCCATGCCAGCACACCATTGTGGTTGGCATGCGCTTTTCCTGTACTAAATCTTCTCTCCCAAGTTATGACCAAAGGCTCAAGTCAAATTAACTCGAAATAGTTCACAGACGAGGCAATCAAGAGAAATGGTTTTAAGTAACTTTGAGTATGTGATTCATTCCTTTCCATTCCATGCGCAATTGTATATACAAACATAACAATAAGCTCCGTAATAACGTTGCGGGTATCCCAATTCGGTCCAGTCCATGCCATGCCAACATGACTTCTTCAATCTTCAATCGCATTATCTCGTTCTCGTACAATCTCAAACTCCAAGGCGCAGGTCGCATAGCCATGCAATCGCAACTGCCTATAACGCCGGTGTAAATGCGAACCACATCGTCCTTATCTCCGGTGATGTGTTGTCTTGTGTTGTACTGTATTCATGTCGTCGTAAAATGTCGGTCTCTTCCTTTCAAACTGTTTTTGGTGTATAATCATTGCGTTGCGTTGCGTTTGTGTAGTGCGTGGTCGTTTACACATTCTCAGTCATATCCGAGACAGACGACGCGGTGCCGCCGACAGCCATGCGCGTCTGCAGGTAGTAGATGAGGTATGCGATGGCGGCAATCAGGATGAAGAGGATGAGGATGATGAGGAAGATGACGATGTTGCGCTGCATGGTTGCGGTTGGGTGGGGTGGAACGAGGGGGTCTCGTTGGTAGTGGTGGTGGTGGTGGTAGTATTGGTGTTGAGTGGGTGATGCGATGCAATAGTCTTCTGCAGTAAAGTCAGTAAATCGTCCTTTCGTAAACGTCGTAGTAATTGTATGCGCACTGTAATCTCAGCGCAAACAATCAATGGTTTTGTATAACGCGGTCGTGGTGGTGTCCAAGCTTGCTATCGTCCAAGCAACACTCAGTAGTCAAGTGATGGTATCCCGGAAGCAATCGAATGACCAAGGATAGCGATGGTAGGACGAAGGAACTCGAAAAGTACAAGTGTATGAAGTGTGTGTGAGGGGAATCGAGTTAATAATATCAGCGAGGAAATCTGCAAGCCAAGTCGTAGTCCATTCTGCAGGTGGCATGCAGGCACTTTTGTACAGACGTGGCGGGGTGCGTGCGCCGCGTGGGTGGTTGGGTCGCGTCCATGGGCCGAGGGGCTGGAATGCTGGTTTGACGTGGCTGGGATGCCGGCGTTACTGGCGGTGAGGCTGGGCTTGAAACAATGGTTGACCGAGTTGATTTAATTGAGTACGTGGTGATGCGTTTGTTGAGGGAAGCTTGTTTTTGCGAAATGATTCAGGTATAGAGATTGAGGTTTGTGTGTCGATGATGGGGGTGATGGGGAAGGTGCGCGCGGTCAGGTGTTCTGGGTCTTGGCGCGTTCGGGGCGGGAGAGCGATCTAACGGTTCGGCCTTGCGACGACACCACCATCACCTTTGTGACTTCGGGATGCGCTTCACCATCGTCTCTGCCAATCATCCGCATACCACGGGCCACGATCGCATCACTCTGAACTTTGCGCCATAGTCGCATTAGGTATGTAGTAATAGACCTACTGATGCAAGTACCACGAGCATTTCTGGAGACTAATCGAAAGTTCGAATGCTAAGCATATCCTCAATAATATCAATCGCTTTTGGTGGAACTTCCATTCCAGACAAGGACCATGTCGTCAATTCTTTCGCTCTATCGTAAGTGTCGACTTGCGTGTGCGCACATTGACGAAATAATCTTCCGCCACCAAGCTCTTCTCGCGGCGTTTCTCGAGTGACAGTATAGATCCTTCAAAAAACTTCTCCTTGAAATACTCATCTGCGTTGATTTTAGAAGCCCAAGCGTGCATACATTCCTGGCCAACAACAGCCGCGTCGCCCCAGCTCCGAATGGTCAAGTCTGCCAGTGCAGAAGCCATGTTGCCTCCGAGTCCTTCGGAAGTTCTCCGCACGAAGCCGAATAGGTCTGGTGTGAGTTGCGGCTGCTCTGGCTGCCGTGCAAGAGCGGCAAAGAGGCGCGTCATTGCATGGTCCTGGAATCCGGGCACAGATAATTCACCTCCCAAGAGCCAAGCCATTATAGCAGCCTTGACTGCCCATTCCATGGTGTCTGTACGCGCGATCTCAAGCCTGATCTTCAGGTCTGGTCTGCCGTATGCGAAACGCAGCCGACATACTGGACCAGATAGCTCTTCGTACTTGCCAGTATACAGCCATTGTACAAGAAGACGGAGAACCTCAAGGGGGTATGCTTTAGAAATGCACATCGTCGGTACAGGCTTGTCTTCGTGTGGGATGTAGGTGCGGAGGTAGTGTGCGGAACAGACTGAACACAGCAATCCATAGGGTATGTAGATATAGCTGCGTCCGTCGGGCCAATCGCCACGGACCATCTTTATAGAACGAGGCTGGCGTGCGCTATTGTGAGTGGTTGGCAGGTGTTTATAGAGGTTGCATGAAGGCACTTACAAATGTACCATATGCTCTCCCCGAGGGCACGAATCTAACGCGGATGGCTCACTGCTTGTAGCCGCCATCTGGTCGTGTGTTCTCTTGAGTGCCATGCTGTTATCCGACTTTGAGGTTGGTTTGGTCGCAGAGGTAAGAAGAGGTGGTGTTTGAGAAGTGCAATGAGAATGAGAGGCTTAAGTATACATACGCATGGCGTGCTCTGCCCTCTCACTTGCTTAGCGAGTTGTGGCCATCCGGACAGTGAGAAATGGAGATGACTCCTCAATATTACCTAGCCATTGGAATCTCACTTTCTGGAGCTTCATTATCTCCAAATCACCTCATGAGTGAGGTGATTTCATCCGGAAGATGGTATACAAGGGAAGGCGCTTGGTTCTGTATGTTGCAGGTCATTTTGACCCATCGCAACGAGCGACTCATAACTTCCGAAATCCATATGTACCCTATCAATCAGGTCCTCTCGAAAAAAAGATAAGTATCATCAAAACAAGAGCTTACGGCAGAGAGGCTTCAATAACCACGTCCAACGCGTTCTCATGACTCCAGATACCCTCAATCTTGAGTCCCACCGACTCGAGTAATTCGCGAAACTGCGACTCAGTTCGCTCTTGACCTGAAAGCGATTGCATGACGTTGACATCCATGGCCGTAAATGCCCACGGTGCGTTTCGATCGGGTATGAGAAGCTCTTTGATGAGAAGCGTGGAGTAACCGGGCTTCATAGCGAGGACGATATTGCGCAGGATGCGTCGGCATGAGTCATCGCTACTGAAGTCATGGAGGACGTGTTGGAGCATATATGCTCTCGCACCTATTAGGGACCATTAGTGCCGTATAGATGGGGTTGTGATACGACGAAAATCGTACCTTTAATCGGCTGAACCTCATTCCAATCCCCCACATGTGCTTCAAAACCATCTTGCTCGCTCCTATCGACAATATGCTCCAACTCCTGGAGCACAAGCCGGCCCTTAACATCTCCTCCAAGCGCTTCTCTCAACAGGCCTAAATCACCCGCATCGCCGCCTCCGATGTCAACAAGTAGCACCTCCTAGTCAGACACGGGTCCGCCTTCTACCAACCGCTCTCTGAACGGGTAGTAACCGTCCTCCCAAAAGAAAGGTTTGCCGGCGTTGTACATCTGAATCATTCCACCAAAGCGCTTTCCCATCGCCGAGTCTTCGTTGAAATACGTGTAAAGCGATTTGTTAGAAAAACCATGCGCGTGTTGGAATGGGCCGTTGCTGATGTCGGATGGATTCTGGTGGGAGATTGAGTCGAGGTATGAGGGGACGCGCCAGCCTACGTTGTAGAAGTCGTCGAACCTGTTGCGGGCGTGGTATGAGTAGAGGGTCTTGTATACAAGGTTGAGTATGATCTGGGGCTCACATGAAGTGTATAGCATCTTTAAACGACTTTTGTCTCAAAGAAGCTGAGAGGCGAGTGCTCGCGTAGGTATCGACATCGACTTCACGGATCGTGCCGTTTGCTGCTAGATGGCGTAGGAAGCGTGCTGTAGGCTGTCCATCAGTATCACATCATGAGAAAATGATAGCGACTTCCTCCAAATAATTCCAAATGCCGATGTTGTGGACCTTCGAAAGTTCGCGATAAAGCACAATACATACCAACCAATCTTGCATCCGCCCCCGCACCCTCAGCAATCCGCTCACACGACACGCCCTTCTCACCAACATCACCCAACGCCTCGAAAACTCCCCACTGCAAAGCGAGTCGAATAGCGAGATAATGACCAGACTGAATGCATTCCGTTCGTGGTTAGCGCTAGTCAACCAGATGCAGTAACCACAACCCCGCAAACCCAGCAAGACCACCACGACCCAGGAGACGTACCTCATTAAACGTCACCCGGAAGACAGCTTCATCTGGTCTTTCCAATTCGTTCCTAAGCGCTTCGGCTAGACCGCTGAGTTGGAGGCGCTCGGTGTTGCTGAGTTGAGCGCGGAGGGTTGGGGCGGCGGCTAGGAGGGTTTTGGGTTGGGACAGGGCGTCAGAGGCCATGGTGTGCGGAAGGTGAGTGTACAAGAGACAGTTCGTAATGTAAGTGGATTGGGATCAACAATGATAGATATGCCGGCAGATGGCAAGTAGCCAAGAAGGCGTACCGCGCCTGCCGTTCCAGGTCAAGCGCAGAAAGGCAGGAACGGTGGGGTGCATAAGTTCACTCGTATGCTGCAGGAGCATATTTGGGAGGCGAACGACGTTTGTATGGTGATCTTGATGAGTTGAAGAGAATGTGATGGTGGGCTCGCTGATCTGGATTGACAATTTCACATGGGCATCGTCTACACTCCGCCCACTAGGCTCGCGATCTTTCCCTTCTTTCTCTCCAACCGTGCCCTGTCCATCTTCCATTGACCCCAGCAGCATGCCAATCCAAAGATTACTGAGCCTCTGGGAGGTGGAAACCGTCCGTAGAGGGCTCGCATCTGGGAATGACCGAAGAATCGAGCTAGCAGCATTGTTGGTTACTTCTGGAAGAAATAAGTTGTCAGTAGAATTTTCCGTATCTACGGGAGCTAGTTATACCTTTCCTGAGTTTTGAGTAACGCCTAACAGTAGGTAGAAACGAGAGGGAGTTGTGTAATGTAGGTTGATAGACGGACAAGCTGTCGTTGTTGAAGAGTGAATGTAACGGCGTTTGGTACTGTTTGTGATGGAGAAAAGCGAAACGTGAATATTATACGCGGCGACATATATATGGTGAAAGAAATGTTTGGCTATATATGCGTGACGTGGTAGCGACAGAACACAGCCGTGGTTGTGAAAAGTTAGACCCACCTCATGTGTGCGGTGCCACCTTCACTCAGCCTCCCCAGCTCAAAGATGTCATGCCATGACCAACTACACCATGATACGCACTATGCCATAACCATATACATTAATAAAAAAGGGTATATACAACCACTTCGCGCACTTCGCGTGCTTCCAACTTCCCACCCTTCCATCTTTGCGACCAAGAGTAGCTCAACACTATACAAAAGCTCTCATCTCAATCCCAATCCCTATAAGTCCAAAGAAACGCCATAAACGCCATTCTTTTCCCGAATCTACCCATCCCTCCCATCTTATCCCTTCAACCCATCTCGTCCCTCTCACTGATAAAACCTCCACTTAACCTCCTTACACGCCCACTCCTTCTTAATCCCATTAATCCTCTCAACCTCCCACCCACTAGTCCACTCCTCATCCCCCACCTTCCCACCCAACCTAATAACCTTGCTGAGATGGCACTCTCCCTCCCCCTTCGCCGTATATCGCCATTGCAGACAGTCTTCGACTTCTAAGCAAACGGCCTGGCAGCGCTCGGAGCTATCTGCTGCATCGGGATGTTTCTCGGCGAGCTTGTCCCAGTTTGGTGGTTCTTTCTTGTCTTCCTTCATGTCCTTGCCTTTCTTGTCGTCCTTTTTGTCGCCTTTCTTGTCTTCGCGTTTAGAGATGCTGTTTGAGGTGGGGAGGGCGCCGGCTTCTTGGAAGACGCGGGAGTCGGGTGGTGGGGCGGTGTCGAGTTTGAGTTTGGGGGGCTCTTTCTTGTCGTCTTCTGCTTTCGGCTTCGCCTCTTCCTTGGCGGTATCTTGCTCTCCCTTCTCTTTCTCTTTTTTCTCGGCGTCTTGCTCCTCCTTCTCCTTCTCCTTCTTCGCAGCGTCGTCTTTTAGCTTCTGTCGACGTCCTTCTAGTGCAACGATCTTCGTGTCTTGACTTAGGTTGTCCCAGCCCACCTTTTGCGTTTCGATGTGCGGTTCCACTGAATCGTGGTAGGCGTCACGGTACAGATATGGCTTCTTCCAGCCATTCGCGGTGGTCCACTTCTTCTCGATATCCCATTGTCTGGTGAGTTGGTCGCCACCAAGGTGGTTCCATGACACGGCAGGAGCACACCAGTGCTTCCTGGTGTAGTCAAGTGTACTTGGCTGTTCGCTCTGGAGTAGTGGCCACGAAGCATAGAACTCCACATGTGCGTCACCAAGCGCCTTCGCTAGCATCAAGTCGCCGCAGCATTGCTCGCCGTTGTCCGGTTCCCACTTGGTTGTGTAGAGCTCATCGTACGATTTGGAGTATCGTCGCAGTGCACCCTGAGACATCATGATGCCTGCTCCGCGCTGCGCCACCTGCGTGCCCGCGATGTAGTAGGGCGCTCCGCTGTAGTATGGTATCCGGTAGTCCAGTCTGTTCAGCCATTGTAACAGGTTCGTCCAGCTCAGACTTGTGTCGGCTTCAATGAAGACGAAGAACTTGGCGCTGGGGTTCATGTGGTACGCCTTGTACACCATGGGCAAGAACTTCCACTTTTCCAGCTCCTCCAGCTTCTTCGTGTCCGGCTTGTGCTCTGCATCAGCATGCATGAGCTGGTATTCCTGGAACTCCTTGTGCTTGAACTTGGTCTCGCCGCTTATTGAATCGAGCGCATCGTGTACTTTGTGTCCTTGGAACTCGCCGGCGTGGTCGCTGAAGATGGCAAAGGTGGGAACGCAGGCTAGCAGATTGCTGAGGTGGCTGTTGAGCTTTTCGATCTCGGCCTTCGATGTCTTGAGGACGACCATGACGTCTTTCGCTCCGTCGACATCGCTGCAGAACTTCTCGACTGCGTGTGTAGGAACGGCGGCTTCGGCGGGCTTCGTGGGCGCAACGTCCGGCTTGGCCGCAATCGGACTCTTCGACGCAGGTATCGCCTCGGTAGCTAGTGTTGTAGGCGCTGGCATTGCGCCTGAGCCCGACATACTCTTTGACTTATCACCACTCTTCAACTTTTCTTTATCTTCCCATCTTCCGCCATCTTCCTCATACTCCGCGACGCCTGTCTTAGTAGGCGCGGATGGTGTTGTCTTTCCCTTTCCACCCTGCGCTCCCTTATCATCCCATCTGTGATCATCTGTCTCCTTCGGATGATCTCCATGTGCTATCGGCGTGGATGTCGCGTGCGGAGTCTCGATGACGGGCGGCGGTATTATCGGCTCGGTGTGCACATTCTTGTGGTCGTAGTGGTCGATGACGGGTATCGTCGGCTGAGGCGTCTGTTGCGGCAGGCCAAAAGTCCAGAAGAAAGTCAAGAGCGAAAAGGAGACGATGATGATGGCGAGCCGTGAGGGGGTGATGAGCGGCATCGCGGCGATAGGGCTTCGACCGCCAAACTTGGAAGTTGAGGTTTGCTTGAGGGAATTTTATGGCATTGAAGTAGACAAAGTCTTTGAGTGAAAATAATCAAGTCATGGTGGTCGCAATCGCCAAAGTCGCGAATGCCCCTCTGAGCGATGATCCCGGGAATGATGGATGGATGAGGCGGTGGCTCTCACCCCTTGGCTGTGGCGCTCGGTCTAGCAGGCGCCGGAAGACGCGCTATCACGACGCTTGACCTGCCCAACTCCATTTATCGGTCTTCGATGCTGACGCAGATGCTTGCTTTTGAAAGAACAACTAGAGACTTGAAATCGTATCTACTACACTACTGTATTATGCAGGGGCTTCTGACAGCTGTCACCACGTGTCGAGGGCGCGCCTGCTGGCCTAGCTCACTAGATCACGTGATGCACTCCGATACCTCTTCCAAGAACACTGCACGCATGCAACGCGATTGCAATGGTTCACCGAGCAGTCAAAGCAACTCCTGAAAATCTATAGTCACTCTACGGCCTGAAACTGGACGCCTCACGGTCTTTTCGGCGTCTCCCTCCCGTGTTCAATTTCCTTCCCACCGGAGTTCCTCCGCCATCCACAACTTCATCACCCAGCACGCCATTACCAAATCGCGTTTCTTCCTGTCCTTCTCGATTCCATCCGTCATCTCCAGCACAAATTCCTTTCTATCCTTCTCGACTCCCATCCCCATCAACGATCGAGACGCGTTCACGGCACCCAGCCCCTCCCTGCCAGTCTCTTCCCTCGCAACAACCACCCCCTCAGCATCCTCCCACACCCCCTTCTTAACGCAATACAAAAGATGTTTCTCGGGCTCACATGTACCTCTGTAATCGCACACATGATGCTGAGCTTTGCATGTAGTAACATGCCAGATGCGCGTCCACTGGCCGCCCCACAATGACTCCCCAGACGTCATCTGAATGCTTCCGGGGAGTGTTCCAGCTTTCTTGCTGCGCGTCTCGAATTCATCTATGCTATATAGCGTTTCCTCGCTACTGTAGCGGATCGGTTGGTCGCGTGCTGTATGTGTGGTTGGTACTGAACATGACCGCGTCTCGCGTGCTTGTACTGCGCGGATACGCAACTTCGATACCGATCCGTCGCGATCGAAACCTCGATGCAGCTGGTAGCGGGGGATGTTATGCGTCTTGGTGGCGTAAACGAAAGAGCCGTCTAGTCTGAAGGTCTGTGCTTCTCCGATGGGCACAAGGTCGAGTATCGTCTTTTTCGCTTCTCCTTGACCCTGGACTTTCGATCGCCATTCCTCTTTGTATTTTGGAAACGTGTGTGCTTTGGCGAGCGGGCGACGAGCTGGAACGTTGGCGCTTAGCAGCTTCGTCTCCGGTGCTGCGGACGGGCTGCTGCTTGGACGACTTGATGCCGACCATATGCTAGGTGGAGATATAGCTTCGTCGAAGAGCGGCTCTTCACCATGCGTAATTGCGCCCGTCAGAACGTCAAATGGGTTCGTCTCTTTCGCATAAGTCTTGAACGTGAAAGAAGGGTCAACGAGTGGGACTAGGTCGTCTTCAGCAGATGCGGTAAACTCAAATGGGCGGCTGAACATCGTCGCGGCTTTTTTAATGAGATCAGATGATGGATATACTGCTAAGCATGCGACTGAAGGTCTATATATCTATCCGCAATGTCTCTGAGTGTTCTACGTCGTTTGATGTATCAGCCACGATGGGCGTCTAGATCAGTCGTTGTCGGCATCTCGCATACACCAGCATGCGCTGTATAAGTCGATCGCGCAAGGAGAAGCTGCAGAGTCATCTGACAGTGTTCAAGCGATTGGACTGGAAAGGCCGTCGTGTGTGGGCGTGGCGGGTTGAGCTCTCAGTAAGCATGTGAATAAGCGCAGA